AATGTGTATCTTTACTCAAAGTTACATCAAGTTCCCTTAGGATTTTTCATGGGAACTCACAGGGACCTTAGAGCACATAATTACCATCCAAAACATAAAATTAATTATACATTCAAATAATTCATACAATTAATTATGAATAAGAAGAAAAATGAGCAAAACAAAAGCATTAGGAGAAATCTCCTCATACACAGGCATACAATACACATAGGATTAGAGGCCAATTTTACTAGAGCTGTCAAAACGGGTAACTCGGCATGGCCCGGCTCGGCCCACCACAGGTTGGTGGGTTAAACAAGTTGACTCACCTAATTTAAAAAAAAATGTAATTTTTTTAATATACAACTAAAGCCCAAAATTTAAATGATAATTCTAAATACAATCAAATAAAATTTAAATAATCTCATGTTAACAAATATAATTCAAAATCATCTCAAATACTCTTTTGGGCCCAAAAATTCAAATATAATTCAAACCCTAATGCTCATTTGGGCAATTAGGCCCAATAAAATGAAAGTTGAAGCATAAGTTTTTTTAACGGGTTGGTGGGTCAGCCCAGCTCACCGTGGGTTCAACCCGGGTGAGCGGAGTTGTTAGTGAGCCGGGTTCAAAATTGGTCTATATTGAAATTTTCAAAATTTTTTGGCCCAACTTGGCTGGAACCCATGGTGGGCCGGGTTAACTCACCGGGTTGAGCCCATTTTGACAGCTCTAAGTTTTACTACTTACCATACAAACTCTCACTCAAAGCAAGATTTCTCACTCTGTCTTTACCTAGATAAGATCTAGAGGATTGGGTGCACAACTCTTGGGTCATTTTCTTCCTACTTATGTTCTCTAAACTCTGAAACACATACATAAAAATAGAGATGTAAAAGGATTTGATCAGAAAATGAAAATTGTTCTTTTAAAAATGCTAACTTCCCTTTAATCCTCTAATTAAAACATACTAACCTCACTTACAAATAACTTCCCTTTTTAATAAAATATTATACTATTCTTTAATAAATATCATATAATATATTTTAAAATATATTACATAATGAAATAAATATCAAATAATCTTTCTTAATAAAATAAAAACATCAAAATTACTTATATAATACTTATATTATATTTTATAAAAAAAAACGAGGTATTAGAAAAATAAAATAGAAATAGTACCATAGAATACGTGAATAATATTCAGCATTTGTATTTGTTGTCAACTATTGAATACGTCACATTTTATCAATCATTTTCAGGAAAATCACGTGTCTTACAATTCAAAAATTAGGGGGTGTATTGGATTAGGATTTTAAAGGACTTTTTTAGTGTAAAAAAATCCTGCGGATTTTAAAAGACTTTGCAGGATTTTCATGACTTTTAAGATTTTGCAGGATTCTACAAGATTTAAAATCAGGATTTTAATGGATTCTACAAGACTTTTAAATCAGGATTTTAATGGATTCTGTGGGATTTTGTGGAGTTTTGACATTTGATAAGATTTAAAAAAAATTTCATACATTCAAATTTAAAAAGAGTCAAAGACAAAAATAATAAAAAAAACAATAATGTCTAGATAAATAATATTAATAATTCTCCATAATATCCTATCCTCTTTTTATAACATCCACTATCAATTGTAACAATTCATCGGAATCCTCCTTGGTCCAAGCTTCATAGTTTTCTTTCTCTTTTCCTTTTTCTTTATTATTTCCTTGTGAATCTCCCATTTGAATTACTAAAACAATATATGTTGAAAACTAGTTATATAAATAATTATGGATAAGAGACAAAATCAATAAAATTATATTATTATTTTTAGAAGCACACCAATCATACAAGATCAAAAAAAAAGATGAAAAACTCACTTAAAAATTCTTGAAACACTTGAAAAATTACTTCAAACAATCCTTCAAAATCCGATGAGTTTGGATGGGATTGTTTTATGAATCTGGTATTTATAAATAACACTAGAAAGTCCTTCAAAATCCCTCTGACACAACAATCCTTTAAAATCTTTATATTTTTGAATACTAATGGATTATTTTTAAGTTGTAAAAAATCTCAAATGAAGATCAGTGGATTTTAATGGACTCTTTAAAAAATCTTGAAAATCCGGATTGAATACCACTGGATTGTTTTTAAGTAACATAAAATCCTGATTGAATACCAATGGACTTTTTTACTCAAAAAAAATCTTTTAAAATCCTACGAAATCCTAAACCAATACACCCCCTTATATTAACACGAAATTTCTGTTTCAAATAACCATTGTCAACGCTTTCTAGTAAACAAAGTACATTTGAATCACAAGGCAAATTATTAAATTTTCTTTTTAATTATTATGCAAAATAATTTAACAATATTTTTCCTTCGTAAGCTCTCAAACAAAATTACGATTAGATTTACTCTGGCATGAAAAGGACATTTTTCAAAGGTCCTTTTCCAATCAATTGTACTATGAATAATTTTATTTTAAAAAAAATACTATCATAATTAGCTTAAAATAGGATTACATCCACCCTTATCTTAATTTTTTTGAACCATGTAGAAAACCCTTTTTAGTATATTTTTATGCTTATAAGTTGGGTTTAGGAGGTATACGCATATACTGAAGGGTAGGATAGTACCATATGCATCTAGGTAGTTAAAAGACCATGAAGGAACTATCCAGCATCTGATTTAGAGTTAGAAACTGCATTTAGTTTAACCTTTATAGGAATTGCCTTTGTGGTTCTAGATTTGTCATCTTTAACAATTGTAAGAGCCTTAAGTACCTTTTTGATAAATAAAAAAAAAAAAAAAAAAAAGTTGACATTGGTGCAACATTGACGATTAGAATTCCTTAAGTACTATGAGTTTCAGTTGAGTTACCACCTTGTTAAAGTCAACATAATAGTAGATGCCTTGAGTATAAAAAATCTTTAAGCATAACATCCTTGATGGTTAGGGATTTAGGTCTTATAGAGAAGTTTAAAGAATTGAAACTAGCTAGTGAGACTAATCACTAAAAAAGACACTCATAATCAACGAATTTTTTTCACGAATAAATATTCATCTAAAAAATGACATTATTAACGGATTTGTCTGACGGATATATGTCTATTTAAAACATAAATGACTCCAACAAATATTACCCACAAATATTTTCCGTCTGAAATTTTAGATGAATGTTATCCACAAATTTTTTTCGTGAAAAAATTAAGATGTTTCATATAGATATTTTTCACAAATTATTTGTCTAAAATGTTCGTAAAAAATGAAAAAAAAATCGTCAGTAACTTTAAAAAAATTAATGATAAAAAATTAACAAATTAAATTTTTAAATACTTAACTAATTTTCTCGTCTAATTAATTTACCATATCAACTATTATATATATATAATTTATAATTAAATGATAATATAAAATAATAATTTACTATCAATATATTTTAATATTATATAGTTAATTTTATTTAAATTGAGAAATATAAAATTAGTGAAATGATATTGATGCCTGATAGACTAAAATTAAAAGATAATTTCTTAACATTTATAATAATTTTACCAATTTTTAACTATATATTTTTTTAATAAAACAAGCTTATTATTTAATATAATTTTAAAATGATTTTTTTAAAAATATTATCAACAATACTCACAGAATTATCAACATTATTACTAAGAGGTGCATCCGTGGATAATTATATTTTTATTAATAATTTATTTTAAAAATAATAAAATTAATTCACAATTAATTATGATAAATAAAAATTAAATTAAATAATTACCTACGGCATATAAATCTATAGGTAATTATTTTTTATTAAAAAATTATGTTAAAAATAAAAAATTAATTTATAAGTAATAATGTCAAATAAAAACTAAATTAGATAAAAAAAATTTAAAAAATTATAAAATTCTTCTAGTCAAAGAAAAGTCTATAAAAACGCTATGGCATAAGAAAGACATTTGTGCTTTATATATAGAAGTTAATTATTATTTGATTAATTACTAATTTTAATTTAATATATATTTATACAAATTTAAATATGATTTATTGATTTAACTATAATATTTATTTTTATATATAATTTATTATAAATTTTAATTATATATAATAAAAATGTAACTTGTGAAATACACAAACTAAAATATTTGTATTTTTTAATTTACATAAAAATTATTGTATTATATTATATTGTAATTTGTGAAATATACTAGAATGAGAAGGATCTAAAGATTGTATAAGTATGAGATTGTATAGTTAAGGATGACTTAAAAGAATTAATTTGTACTATCTATACCAATGAGATGCATCTACTCTTTGGTAGCTTACTTCTTAAGAACTTCACAGTTAAGCGTGTTTAACATGGAATAATTTAGGGATGGGTGACCTTCTAGGAAGTTTTTCAAAAAAATGTGTGAGTGACGACAAGGATTGCATGAAGTGTCGTGGAATGGAGCTGCTGAAAGGTTAGATATGAAGTATGTTGCACTAAATAAGGGTGTTATTTAATAAGAGTGAGATAGTTAGGTTGCATGGAGTTCCTTCTAGTACAATGTCAGACCACTACAAGAAATTTGTCATTTTGCAGGAGGTTTTTTTTTTTCATATTGCGGCGGTTTACGCCTCCCTCAAAATAAGTAATGACGTTTTATAAAAACGCTGCAGTTACGTTCGCCACAAGCATTATACGACAATTTTTACCAACCTCCGCTACCTTTTCCATTCTGCGGCGTTTTGTTTAGAGGGAGTTTTTGACCTCCTCAATTTGAATGATTTTCTTTTTTTTTTTAATTTCACAATATATATTATTTTTTTAATTTAAATTACATTTAACCTGTATAAAAAAATAATGAGGTAACATAATCCAAATCCCGTTACATTTTTTTTAATTTCACAATATATATATTTTATTAAATGTTTTTAATGCACACCTATTTCAATATTTGATCCAAGTGCACCTACAACATTCAAGAGACAAATAACAAAACAATTAATCACCTATTAGTTCATAAAAATATTTAACCACCTAATCTTACATATTGATCTAAAAATTGAATCACAAGAATCGGATTTGCATTCATCTATATCTATAACCATTATGATGTTGGTGGCGTTTCCAAGACCAAATGGTATTGTCATTAAACCATCAATCAGGATGACCACATCGTTGGTCTTGCGTCCGAGCCATTATACCAAGAGGAACTAGATATCCCCCAGAATTGGTAATGGACGCAGCGAATAATATACATTAGATTCAATAATATTTGACATTCAAAATTAACTATAATCACTAATATACAAACCATTAATACGCATTCATTCAAACACTTTTTCCGCCAACATTTATCATAGTGCTCAGTGGAAGGAGAAGTCGTTAAAATACAGGCTCACGGCGAAACATTAGGGTAACGTCCACTGCCCATAAACACTTAGGTGTTTCATCTCATCATTGCACTTCTCAACACAAAATTGCTTACTACAATGCCTGGTAACAGAAAGGTCAAATACCACTTATTGTGGCTACACTAATAACAATAGGTACAACGAAATAGAACAAATAGAAAATGCACATTTAAAAACAAAAGTCAAAATCTAGAATTAGTGAATGGCTTCAGTGTGTGTAACAATCAGATCATTGATAGAAATCTCACTGAAATCTGCTAAGATAATTAAATTATCATCATAAGCCAAATCATTTTCTCAAATCAATAACAAAATAAGTGTTCCAAAATCACAAATGTTAGGAAAATTAAAATTAAAATTGAAAAACAAATGAAAAAACAAAACTTTATAATAAAAAATTGGGTGTGCTCAGACAGCCAAGGGTTAATAATCAACTTCTGAGTAAACCCCAGATCAGAATCTCTAGTCCACAAAATTGTCTCGTCACAGCACAAAAATAATACCTAAATTTTAATTTCAAAAGAAATTAAGAAAAAAAAAACAAAAGATTACTATCACAAAGCATTGAAATGCCGAAAATGAATTTCGTAAAGATGAAATCTTCAGGAGATTTAGGAGAAATTGAGAGCGTAAGTTCACAAAGAGAATGAATGAAGCAATTTGATGAAATTTATGAAGCACTAAATAAACCCATGTACCTACTTTTCCAGAACCGAGCAGCTAAGCAGGGCGGGAGGTGGTGGCGCTGTCTTTGTTGTTGGGGAGTGCAGTGGAACAGCCCTATGCGCGCGGTGGTTGGCGACTGAAATGGGCGACGGTTCGGGACGGGATGCGTCACCCTCCTCCTGGCAATGGCCTCACAAAAATCACCTCCCTGCATGAAGCGGAAATGGTAAAGAAAAGAGGGAAAGCACCTCCCTGCATGAAACGAAAACCTAATGGAAAAGAGAAAGAGGAAATGGTACCTGAGGAAGAAGGAAGGGGATCGTGAGGTTGAGAGAGAAGAGAGGCTCGAAGAGTGGAAGAGTGATTGAAGGAGGGATTCAAAAAAATTGGAGAAAAGTAAGAGAGGGAAAGCAGGAAAATTTTTGCAGGAAAAATTGTATATGAATTCAGGAGGGCATAAACCTCCTAAAATAAATGATAGAAACTGCTGCTATATTCAGAATTTTAAGCGTTTCTTAAAAATGTTGCAAGTCATGTTAATTTGAGGGGATTTTTAAAACTCCCGTAAAATAACCTCCACTAAATAATATTTTTTTGTAGTGGGCAGAGACCCTAAATTTATGTTGAGGTTTTAGGAGAGTTTACATAGAGCTTTAGGAACCAAGCTTAGGCTAAGTTCAACTTACCACTCACAAAAACAAGGCCAAACCAAGCGTATCATCCAATCTTTAAAGGATCTCCATTCAACATGCGTGACATAAGATAATTGTAGTTAGGATTTTTTTTTTTACCTTTAATAGAGTTTACCTATTCAATAATTGCCATTATAGTATTGTGATTGTATCTTATGAAGTCTTATATGGAAGGAGGTGTAAGATACCCTAATGTTGGTCTAAGTTAGGAGAGAACCTAATGTTAGAACACGAGATATTTTTGCCACAACAATTACCAAACATCCCCTCAAAGAACTTTGAAGGCTATCTAAACAAAACCTTGTTCATCTTTCAACATCCTCTAAGGCTTGAGGCATGTATACTAGATGGACCTTAGGTAACCGAAAACTAATGCTATTATATCACCTTTGACCACCTATACACTTGCACATATATGGTTCATCCCAGTTCAACACCTTCTGCCACATATACACTTGACCACCTATACACTTGCACATATATGGTTCATCCCAGTTCAACACCTTCTGCCACATATACACTTGTGCGTATATGGTTCATACCCGTTCAACATCCTTAACCACCTATACACGTATGTGTGTGTGCATATGGTTCATATCCATTCGTCACCATCGATCACCTATATATATACTTGATGGTGTGTCATTCATACCAATTCAAGACTCTTGGTCACCTATATACCTGTACCTGAATGTGTGTAGTTCATAACCACTTGGTACCCTCGGGCACTAATGCACGTAAGCTTGTATGCAATGCTCGTTTGACATTCTTAATTAGATGTCATTACCCTATGAAATTGAACTTCCAAGTCATTCGACAACTGAAAATAATGAGTAGTTGCTCACCATACATAAAGATAATTAGGGTAATTAAGTTTAATCGTGATAAAAACGTAAATTAAGGATTTATTACCTAATTGGTAATCTCTGACCAAGGCCCGTTGAAATCTAAACCTATCACAGTTAATATAAATAATATCGTATATTAAGATAAAGTTACTTTTCATAATATATTTGCATTTATTACATTTAGGAAGTTTCTTATTCGAGTGTTGGAATGTTTTTTGTAATTACATTAAAGAGACATAGCGTGGAAAACATCGTTGGACAGAAATAAATATAATATCAAGTTGTTTTTTTTTTACTGCATGTTAGTTATTCATAACCTTTTTGATACAAAATTGTCTCACGGAGGGGGAGGCTTAAATTAAAAAAAAAACAATTATATTTTCAATTTAATTAAAATAATATCATAGTAAAATACTCCATTGAATAATAGTGCTTATATATGTTAATAAATCCTTCACGAACTTGTTTTATATTGTATTTCTTTTTCATAATGCACTATATAGCTTACAATATAAGTAAATAATAAGATTATTTTTAACAGTTATTAACACTGCAAATTACCCTAATATCTTAACTGCACCAAATTTTTAGATTAAAAAAAAAAACATGACATACACAATTTTCGATGGAATTGAAGTAATAAAATATAAGGAGACATTTCTATTTAAATTTTTACACGTGGTTTTATAATGTAAGAATCTTATATTTATCTTTCTCTTAAAAGGCTTTTTTTTTTCATCAATGAGCATCTCTTATAAAATACGAAAATTAATTCCTTTCAAGGATTTAACCGACACTGAATAGGTAAATATTTTCCCACAATTTAAGTTTTGTACATACATAAGAGATCAGATTCGAATCTCACTTGATTAAATACAAAGAAAAATAAACACAGTTTTCATGTTAAAATGCTAATTGATAAAATTAATCACCAACAAACTGAGATTCAACGTACATAATTATTTATTTACGACTATCAATTTAAAGTAATAATCCAGATGTAACAAAGGAGCACAATTTCTCAAGTATAAAAGGTCACTGCTTCTTATCTAACGAAAGGTACGATGAACCACTCTGCATATAATAACTGGAAGAAAAATACAAATTAAACATCACATCAGTAACAAAAGCTAAGAGTATATGTGCTCCAATTAATATGCATAATTGATGTGAATGTTTGGCTACTGATTAATTGTAACTTTTCCATAAAGCTGGAAAAAGTTATGTTTTTTTATAAATGTAAATAGTCAAACCAAAGTGCCAAACACATTACAAACACACACGAATTTGAAAACCAATATATTACGGCGTCAAAATGCCTAATTTGTATTTATTTAAAGGAGTTTATCAACTATAAAATCCCATTATTAAAACTTTTCTATAATAAAATTGCTGAACTAATAAGATGATTGTGTAGAAGCTAAACAAATGAACTTCTAAAAATCTATGTGATATATTCACTTTAACTTATGCAAAAAGTTAACTCATTTTTCCTTAAAATATTTTATTTTAAAGGATCGGACTATTGTGAAGAGGTTAATAAATGACTATGGCATTGTGTCCTAATATATCAAGTGTTTTAGATAGTGATGAATTCTTCACAAAGTTGTCGACAAATGGTTGATCTCTCTAGTTCTTATCACCATAAATAAAACCATACCAGTTCTTATTTTTTTTATTTTAATGATCAAATTTCTGAAAGTAAATCTTTATGGGAATTTCTACAACCGTCTATCTTATCTTTCTTTCACTCCCATGTCCACCAAATCATTTTTCAAATTCTAAGGAGAAACCACTTACTAAGTATTTTTCTTTTTAATCGATACCTTCAAAGAAGTTAATGGAGGTTGCCCAAAGGAAAGGACTTGGTTTTCAGCATAAAAAAAATTCATTAAAGCTAATGAACATTATATTTTAGCTATTAACATGGACAACTATTCCACTTCAATATGAACAACCCTTTAAGGTGTAAGTTTTTGCTCCTCTTTAACTTTTATTATTGTTGTTCTGGACAGCAGTCTAACTTACATTTGACATTTCTTTACAAAATTACAACTCATCTAATCTTACCTGAGACAAGCTTTAGATAAAATCAAACTAGGGTTTCACATCAAAGATTGGCACATGACAATTGAATCAATGATGCTCACACATCATATATAAATGAAGTAATAAAACTTTCCCACAAAAACACTTTTATAAGACTCCTTAACTTAGGTACGCATTCACTGATATTTCAACTCTAACCTAAGAAAAGTATTAACTTAAACATCAGAATCCTTCTAGATGTCACTACCAAAAATTTAGATCATCGTCGCTTGAGCCACCACATTTTTGTCAAAAACCTAACTCTTCACCTAATTAAGTTCACAACATTGGCACTGTCTATCGGAAACACCAGATTTCTCTTTCAACTATTCAATTTTTCGTGATTAAAGAAATTATTGATCTTAAAAAACTACAACAATCTTTCATCACTATTACACATTATCAATGGAAGCGTCACTTGAGCAATAAAGTGATTCTCAATATGATTGGAGGGGAGTATGTGTGATTATTAGAGGAATTTCACGGGAGGAACTTGTAGTAATAAGAGGAAGAAAAATGTGAGGGAGATTATGATGACTTCTTCAGAAGAAAGAAAGGACAAAATCTTGTAAAGGTTAAGGGTTTAGGGTTTAGGATTTTGCTAATTCTGATTCTGATTGAACATTGGTGTTGTCTATAGAGAATGGCATATTGCTCTTTCAATTCTTTGTGTGATTGAAGAAATTGTTATGATATTGAGTTAAAGAAACTACAACAATCATTCATCAAAATTGTACATTATTGAAGCATTACTTGAACAATAAAGTGGTTCTCAATACAATCGAAGGGGAGCATGAATGATTATTAGAGGATTCAGAGGATTTTCAGGAGACGACTTTGTAGTAATGTAAGGAAGAAATATACGACGGAGATTATGATGACTTTTTCAGAAGACAGAAAAGACAAAAACTTGTAAATGTTAATTTTCGGTCTTAATTTGTTGATTTTGATTTAAATTTTTTTTATTACAAATCATGATGTTTTCCTATTAGTAAATGCCTCAATCGCAAAGTAAGGATGTTATTTGCTGATATTGAAAACTCAACTCATAGCATATTTTACGGCCTTTTTAAGAATTAGGGATACGTAGCTCTTGATGACTCATCATTTTTATCTTATACGATTTTCTGGCTATCATATTAAACCTATAGGATATGTAAAACTGGCAACGAAATTTAGAAAGGCATCTATAAACAATGGTTATTCATTTCATAGTAGCAGATTTTATCTCACCATAGATGATATGAAGGTTGTAACATTATCGGGAGATTAGAAAATAAAAAGGAAGAGAATGTTATACAGAACCTTTATAGGCAACCACCCTCTAAAATTAAAGTTTGAAGAAAATTGGGGAAGCTAAGAAATCTTTTTGACCGAGCTAAATTGTCAAGATGGCTTGAAGAATGATGTCTAGATGACTAGATTGAAATTAACCCAATGGAGAATGCCTTCTAGTTCAAAAATTGGAAAAAAAGTAAGAGCAACTTACAATGTTAGGCTTGAATTGAGATGAAAGAATGAAAGAAAGTCTGGTTTTTTTTGCTTAAGGAGATCATTGAACTTTTTGCATGGGAATTGATGGATAAGCTGAGAATAAATCCCTATTTTTTCTATCATAGATTCGAATTTGATCCTTCAGTGAAATTAATTTTAAAAGAGAAGGAAGATTACTTTAGAGCGGTAACAAGTTGAACGACAAATTAAAGAACTATTAATGGCACGATTTATAAGGGAGGTGTACTACATGAATTGTTAATATTGTGTTAGTAAAATAGAAGAATAAAAAATGGAGAATGTGAGTAGAATATATTGGGCTTAATAAACCTTGTCATAAAGATTTGTATCCATTACCATATATTGATAAGCTAGAGGACATTTCTTCAAGTTGTCGTTATTTGACTTTTATGGATGTTTATTCCAGTACAATCAGATATTATTACATCCATATGATCAAGGAAAACAATGTTCATCATAAAAATAAAAATAAAAATAAAAAGGAAAAATATTGTTTTAAAGTGATGTCTTTAGGATTGAAAAATGTCAGAGCTATATATTACAAAATAATGAACAATATGTGTTTGACAGGTAGGGATGATTTTCAAGGTATATATATATATATA